TCCAGTTTTCATGCAGTTTTTGCAATCTTGATGCATCCTCCATAGACTACCCTTGTTTATTTTCCAGAGAGCCCTTTTCCAGTGTCTGTAAAATAGACATTTTCTTTTGAACTCTTTTTCTGGACTTCCTGGATTATACTTCTTTTAGTTTGGCAATACCTAATTACCTTTCTTCATTTTGGTGTATTTTCACTTTTTAAATGTTAAAATATATATATGAAGTCAGTGTGGGTGTGTGTATACATACACAATACAGAGGGAGAGAGAGAATCCTTTTTTTAAATTAATTTTTTATTGGTGTTCAATTTACCAACATATAGAATAACACCCAGTGCTCATCCTGTCAAGTGTCCCCCTCAGTGCCCGTCACCCATTCACCCCCACCCCCCGCCCTCCTCCCCTTCCACCACCCCTAGTTCATTTCTCAGAGTTAGGAGTCTTTATGTTCTGTCTCCCTTTCTGATCTTTCCCACACATTGAGAGAGAGAATCCTAAGCAGGTTTCGTGCTCAGCAAGGAGCCCACTATGGGGCTCGATCTCATGACCCTGAGATCATGACCTGAGCTGATATCAGGAGTCAGATGCTTAACTGACTGAACCACCTAGGTGCTCCAAAGTGCCACTACTTCTTTGACCTTGAGAAAGCTACTTAACTACTCAGACCTCCATTTTCTTTGACCGTGAATGGGCATGATGACAGTTCACAGTTATTTTGAGATGCAGATAATACAGTTTTATCTTTGTGCTTTGGATATTCTTGGTACTGAACACATGTAGGTCATTTTTGTAAGATGAGTCCTAGTGCTTTTAATTGTGGTGTGCATCCCTCCTAAGTTTGAATGTTAGGTTTTGTGGAAAGAACCTGGACTCTGGAATCAGGCCTGCTGTTTGCATACATATCTGATGCTTAGCCTAGTGACTTCAGGCAGCAGGTCATTAATAAATGAGGAAATACATCTTTTAATTTCTGAGGCGTTATTTATTAAGAAAGGATAATAGTAGCTGAGCCACAGAATTTTAAGCCTCAAATGGGATAATATGCATAAAAACTATTTGTGGATTATAACCTGTGTATTGTGGTCCTTAAATGTTGGGTGGGTAGAGGAAGTGGGTGGTTTGTCTTATGTTAGGTTCAAAACTCTTGAGATTCAGTAAGCACAAACATCAGAAATTCAACTATGCTCAGCATATTAGGCAAGAACCCTTGTTTTTTTTCCTTTTGCATGTGTTTTGGAATTGATTAGTTTTAAGGTGACATTCACTGACCTTGAAACATCATGCAGAGATGTTGCTTCTGGGTCATTACAATTTGTGGGTGTCATGACCAAGATTTCGAACTTTTGTTTTTTGGCAGATTGATTTTTTAAAGCAAGCCTGACATGCCATTTGTGAATAATACATGAAGAAGAAATTTGAATTGGAAGATTAAAAAACCCACCATTGCTAGTAGTGCTCCTAATTCTTTTATTGAGAAACACTAGACTTTTCTTTGTTATCTTTTAAAAATTTATTTTATTTTATTTTAATTTTTAAAAGATTTTATTCATGAGAGACACAGAGAGAGAGAGGCAGAGACATAGGCAGAGGGAGAGGCAGGCTGCCCATGGGGAATCTGATGTGGGAATCCATCCTGGAACTCCAGGATCATGCCCTGAGTCGAAGGTAAGGTAGATGCTCATCTGCTGAGCCACCCAGGTTTCTCCTTTGTTATATCTTGGTCACAGTTTCCTGCTTTGGGATTCAAATGACTTGGATGGAGCAAGAGACAGAAGCATTCACGTTAGACCAGAAAGTCCTAGACTTTGGGTTTATAGCTATTCTTAGGTTCCTAGTAACCACATGCACTGTTCCTTAGGCTGAGCTTTTAGATGGTTGTATTTTTGTGAGCTCAGGGTACTGAGCTACAAAATTTGAAATTGGCTGAGGCTTCTGAGTTGCTGATTGTGGTGGTTTTCAAAATCTTTCTTTAGGAAGGAGTGCTTGACCAGAGCCCTAGAATTCACTGTTCTACCTGAGTGAAATTTTTTAAGGAGCACGTCATCCTCTTTTCTTACCATCATCATTGCTTGCCCAGGCCCATTGTCCTCTGTTCTGTTCTTACCTACCTGACCTTATGAAGTTGGACCAGGGTGGAGTAGGTACGATATAATGAGGCCCCACAGCAGCTTCTGCCCTTCGCCTATCCTTCATCCTTCTCAAATTCTCTGGATATGTATGTAAATAGTCTTTCTCAGCTGAGGTTAGAGGGGCTCAGCCCTTCCCTCCCGTCTAAGGCAGTAGCAAGAGCCAGTGAATCTACTTGTATCTTAACAGGCTGTGTACACTGAGGGCCTTACAGTAAAGCTCGTGCCTTCAGACCTGACCCTGAATCAACCTGCACACAAATTCCCACACCCACTGTCACTATCATGGTGGGGATGATGATGGTGGTGATGGAAAGGAACCTGGGAATTTTGTATTAATAGGATTGGCAGTCACTGCCTTCCAGGGAACAGCAGTTCTTTCTCTGTTAATCAGAGTCTTCTGAAAACTGCATAACTTACCTTTGACATTTTTAAAAACACCTTGTACCATTTTGAACCCTTTTATTTTTTATTTTTTTTAATTTTTTTAAAAATTATTTATTTATTTATTTATTTATTTATTTATTTATTTACGATAGTCATAGAGAGAGAGAGAGGCAGAGACACAGGCAGAGGGAGAAGCAGGCTCCATGCACCGGGAGCCCGACGCGGGATTCGATCCCGGGATTCCAGGATCACGCCCTGGGCCAAAGGCAGGCGCCAAACCGCTGCGCCACCCAGGGATCCCTTTTTTTTAAATTTGTATTTATTAATAGTCACACAGAGAGAGAGGCAGAGACAGAGACATAGGCAGAGGGAGAAGCAGGCCCCATGCACCGGGAGCCCGACGTGGGATTCGATCCTGGGTCTCCAGGATGACGCCCTGGGCCAAAGGCAGGCGCTAAACCGCTGTGCCACCCAGGGATCCCTTGAACCCTTTTAAAAAGCATGGGGAATTTGCAAATGGAGCCTAATGAGGGAGCTGTCTTATTAAGATTTCTGTTCACTCTGGTTATCTCTGAATAGAAAAACTAATGTGGGGATCCCTGGGTGGCTCAGTGGTTTCATGCTTACCTTTGGCCCAGGGCGTGGTCCTGGAGTCCTAGGATCGAGTCCCGTGTCGGGCTCCCGGCATGGAGCCTGCTTCTCCCTCTCCTCTGCCTGTGTCTCTGCCTCTCTCTCTATGTCTATCATAAATAAATAAAAATAAATGAAAGAAGGAAGGAAAGAAAGAAAGAAAGAAGAAAGAGAGAAAGAAAGAAAGACAGACTAGTGTGGCTGTTAGTTTCCTAGGCCACCATAACAAATAAGCACAAACTGGGAGGCTTAAAAGAACAGAAATGCGTTCTCTCAGAGCTCTGGAGGCCAGAAGTCCAAAAGCAGTGTGTCGGCAGGGTTGGTTATGTACTAGAGGCTCTGAGGGAGCATTCATCTCATGCCTGTCCCCAAGCTCTTTGTGGCTGTCAGCCGTCCTTGGCTTGCGACACGTCACTGCAGTCTCTGCCTCCATCTTCTCGTGCCTCCTTGGTGAGTTCTCTTCCTCTAATAAGAACACTTGTCACTGGGTTTAGGACCCACCCAGGTATTCCAGATGATCTCATCTCAAGATCCTTAACTGAATTACACCTGCAAAGACTCTTTTTCTAAATAAGGTCACATTTATAGGTTCTGGATGGATATATCTTTGGGGGTGGGGGCATTTGGCACCATTAATCCCACTTCATGGGGCCATAGCCGCCACCTCTGTCATCCCTGGCCAGATTTTTTGCTTATCCTTGTCATTTCTTGTAAGACAGGATGGCAGTGTGACATTGGTGCCTCATCATCCAAGCTCTACCAGCAAAGTGTAATAACACAATCATTTGACAGAATCAAAAGTAGCATTTTTCTCTTTGAATTATTCTGTTTTTAAGTATAACGTCTGGAAATCTTTTCCCATATTCCAAAATCCCAGTCTTTCTCGTCCTCTTTTTGTTTTTAATTTTTAAAATTAATTTCAGAGGTAGAATTTAATGATTCATCAGTTGCAAATAATAACCCAGTGCTCATTACGTCAAGCGTCTTTTTCTTCTTCTTAAAGAGAATAAGACAAGATCCTATTTTGCCTGAGTGCCAAAGTTGTAGATTTATACCTGGTCTTGAGTAAATCAGAAGTATATTGTGTTTCTGTGGACAGAATAACAACAAAAATTTTTCCTTTGGCACTTCCCAGATACAGCTTTTTACAGAGTTTGAACCTTTCTCTCATCCCACATATAAATTATTTTATATTTTTTTCTTTTTCTTTTTAAAGATTTTATTTATTTATGAGAGAGAGAGAGAGAGGCAGACAGAGACACAGGCAGAGGGAGAAGCAGGTTCCATGTAGGAAGCCTGATGTGGGACTCAATCCGGGGCTCCAGGATCAGGCCCTGGGCTGAAGGTGGCGCTAAACCGCTGAGCCACCGGGGCTGCCCATATAAATTATTTTATATTGAGCATTGCATAATTCTGTGAACATAAAAAAGTAAGCATTTAATGCAGGCTTGTGGTCCTAAAACTACAGCAATATAGAAATGAACGAAGTAAAAACTGAAAGCTCTGTTCTCCTGCCATTGAGTTTGGTGTACATTTTTTCAGAACTTCCTTATATGGACTGTGTGGATTTTAGACACTGTCCCGAGCTGGTATATTAGGTAAAGAGAAGTGAATGTATTGATAGGTTCAACTGCTTGTTTTTAGGGTAGTAAATTGCTTCTAGATCCATCTCAGCAGCATCTTCATGTTTTTATCTATCACGTTATCATGTGAGGTTCTCATGTGCCTAGGTTCAGCGTGGAGACAGTTTGTCATCATGTATAAGGAAAAGTTTAGCTTGTGAAAGCTGCTTTAATAATAGGTGTCATTTCTTTCTTCCTCCCCTAGATTCTAAATTCTGTTTATATTTTTCTCTTGCAGATTTAACCCAGAGACTGACTTCACCATAGAAACACCCACAGTTGTATCAATGGTTGGGGCAAGATAGTGGCAACAGGCAAAGGAAAAACAGCTCCAACATACTAAGGACAATGAGTATGCTAAAACCGAGTGGGCTTAAGGCCCCTACCAAGATCCTTAAGCCTGGAAGCACAGCCTTGAAGACACCTGCTGCTGGTAAGGCTCTATGATTTATATCTAAACTAGAACCCTATTTGAAAAATTTAAAAAGACAGCCTTAAGAAACTTGATATTTTTTAAAATATTTGAGGAAGTTTTAATTAAAAGACATGGAATTTTGGGGGCACCTGGGTGGCCCAGTTGATTAGACATCTGACTTTTGGTTTCAGCTTAAGTTGTGATCTCAGGGTCTTGAGATCAAGCCCGGTGTCTTTTGGGCTTCATGCTCATCGGGAGTCTGCTTGTCTCTCTCCCTCCTCATGCCCCTCCCCCTGCTTGCTCTCTCTCACTTGCTCTTTTTTTTTTTTTTAAAGATTTATTTATTTATTCATGATAGAGAGAGAGGCAGAGACACAGGCAGAGGGAGAAGCAGGCTCCATGCCAGGAGCCCAACGCGAGCCTCGAACCTGGGACTCCAGGATTGTACCCTGGGCCAAAGGCAGGCGCTAAACTGCTGAGCCACCCAGGGATCCCCTCACTTGCTCTTTAAGTAAATAAATCTTTTCAAAAAATACGGAATTTTACACCTAAAAATATATTCTTTTAAAGATTTATTTATTTGAGGGGAGGTGAGGGGAGGGGCAGAGGAAAAGAGAGAATCTTTTTTTTTTTTTTAATTTTTATTTATTTATGATAGTCACAGAGAAAGAGAGAGAGGCAGAGACACAGGCAGAGGGAGAAGCAGGCTCCATGCACCGGGAGCCCGATGTGGGATTCGATCCCGGGTCTCCAGGATCGCGCCCTGGGCCAAAGGCAGGCGCCAAACCGCTGCGCCACCCAGGGATCCCGAAAAGAGAGAATCTTGAAGCCGACCCCCCACTGTGTGGACCCCACCCCCTTCCAACACTGGGCTCCATCCCAGGACCCTAAGATGGTGACATGAGCTGAAATCAAGAGTTGGCTGCTCAACTGACTGAGCCTCCCAGGCGCCCCATAGATTTAAAAATCTTAAGAGCTCTTAGTTAATTTAGTGTAAGGTGCTAAAATAGTTGTCAAGTAACTTCAGTATTTAATCCTTACAATATTAAGATATTTTGTTTTTCTGTGTCTTCCTGAACCCATCTGGACCTTCGTCTTTGGGGTTTAGGGATGTGTGGAGAATGTAAAGACGAGTCTGGCTTAAAAGATTTCAGGACATTAAGTGATTGAAAGTTGGCCTTTGGTTTCAAGGGAGCAAGCAGTGTGATGGCTGGAGTCCAGCTTATGCAGGAGACTGTCCCTGTTTCATAGATGAAGCGGTGGCCTGGATTGTCTTCAGCAGCCTCTGTCCTTCTGCTGTCTCCTCTTCCACCATTTCAGCTTCCAGCCCATAGTGACCACTGATAGTCTTTAATAAGAGAGTTAGGAGAGGGCATCTGATGCTTGCTTGCTCTTATGGTCTTTTCATGTGGTTTATATGCTGTTTAGATGGGTTATCAGCCATTCCCGACAGGTGTCCACCATAAAATAATTAAGTCCTACGTTGCTCCTTCAGGTTTTTGCATAAAATCTCATTGATCTTCTAGAAGGGCCAAGATCTTTCTTTTTTTTTTAAGATTTTATTTATTCATGAGACACAGAGAGGCAGAGACACAAGCAGAGGGAGAAGCAGGCTCCATGCAAGGAGCCCGACATAGGACTCGATCCCAGGTCTCCAGGATCAGGGCCTGGGCTGAAGGCAGCACTAAACCGCTGAGCCACCCGGGCTGCCTGAGTAAAGCAGTTTGTAGTCACTAAAACTTAGATGCTTAAAAGGAAATCATTGCTCATTTTTGTACTTTTATGAAGATTGTTTTTCAGAAACTTGTCCTTTCAGTGCCTTGTCAGAAAGAATTGTTCATGTACAAAGCTGGAATAGATTCTAAAAAACTGACTGGGCTGACTTGTCTTTGGCAGATTATCTGTTTGATTTGAGAAGGTTTATTATCTTCTAAAAAACAAAAAATAAAAAAACCAAAAACCCTCCACAAATCGAAACACCACAGTCTCCTCTTCTGTGTAGGGGAAAGGGATGTTTAGCACCCCCTGTAGGCCTGCCTGCAAGACCACTCTGTTTCCCTGTCTATGTGTGGTTCACCCTTTCTGTTGATCAGGCCTCAGGGCAGGTGTTACCTCCTCTAGGAGGCCTTCCTGTGACTGCTCTGCCTAAGGGCACTGTCTCCTTGGTAGCACTTATATCACCGGAAATTACCTGGTGTGTCTCCTGACTGTGTCCCCACCTCTAGGCTCTGGGCTCTAAAGGGGCATGTACTATGCTGTCTTGCTTTGTTCCCTAGTGAGAACAATGCCTGGGACTAGTGCTGGAGTGGTAGACACTCATAGAAAGGGCGAGCATGAATAAATACATTATTTCATTTACTGAAATGAGAGATAGATACAACTATCCCCTTATTCTTAAGAAGAAATTAAATTCAGAGGGGTCATGTAAAATATTAAGACCACAGTATGCCTACTAAATGGTAGAGTGCTTAAGAATGTGGGCTTTCTTTGCCAGTTCATACCAAATATTTAATAAATACTTGTTGAATGAATGCTTGAAATTGAGTAAAGTCATCTTGCTTTAACAGGGAATTTGGCCAGGTACTTTTTCCCCTTGTTGTGATTTCTTCTCTGCCAGCAAAGAATTAGGGTTTATTTGGTGGTCTTGGAGTGAGGTGACAGGGCTGTGGCACTGAATCTTCTCCTCCTTTAAGCCTGATTGTGAATCTCTGGTTCCAGGGTCCTCGACCTGTCATCCCTCCCTGACTACTCACATGTGGGAATAGAGCTCGTCTCCGGGGATCCGAATGGGTGTTTACTCATGATGTGCAGGGCAAGGGGTAGAGGAAAGAATGAAATCAGACCTGTGCTATGAGCTCTGGAAAAGGGACTTCTCCCCCTCCTTGCTATGACTTTTTCCATTTTTAATTGTCAATAAGGATTAAAGCCCACCACTCACTGAGTTTTGACAGCATTGAGAATGGTAGTTATGAGCCAAGTTGTTTTTGTTATTTTTTAAGTTTTATTGATTTAAATGATCTCTATACCTAACATGGACTTGAATTCATGACCTGAGATCAAGAGTTGTATGCTCTTGCTCTTTCAACTGAGCCAACCAGGTACCCCGATGGGTCAAGGACTTTTTGCCTCCTTGCTTTAAAAAAAAAAAAAAAAAAAAGGCAGAAGGACAGATGAACAGAAAAACTTAAAAGAGCTGTGACTGCTCCTGTTGCTGTGGAGTTTCACCAATTTTTCCATTAAGTTAGGAGTTGTCTACTTGAATATGAGCCTTTTCTGATCCTTTCTTCTGTTTGCAGTTGTTGCTCCAGTAGAAAGAACAACATCCAGTGAGAAGGCATCAGGCACACCATCATCGGAGGCACAAGAGGAATTTGTGGATGACTTTCGAGTTGGGGAGAGAGTTTGGGTGAATGGGAATAAGCCTGGATTCATCCAGTTTCTGGGAGAAACCCAGTTTGCACCAGGCCAGTGGGCCGGGATTGTTTTAGATGAACCCATAGGTAAGAACGATGGTTCTGTGGCTGGAGTTCGGTATTTCCAGTGTGAACCTCTGAAGGGCATATTCACCCGCCCTTCGAAGTTGACAAGGAAGGTGCAGGTGGAAGATGAAGCTAATGGCCTACAGACAACGCCTGCTTCCAGAGCGACTTCACCTCTGTCCACTTCTGCAGCCAGCATGATGACCTCCTCCCCAGGAGCCCCTTCAAATATCCCCCATAAATCATCCCAGCCTACAGCAAAGGAACCGTCAACGACATCTCAGATCAGCAACCTTACAAAAACTGCCAGTGAATCTATCTCCAACCTCTCTGAGGCTGGTTCAATCAAGAAAGGAGAAAGAGAGCTCAAAATTGGGGACAGAGTACTGGTGAGTCCAGAAACCTCTGAGGTCATTGCGTTGAATTGATGAATGATTGAAATGCACACATCCAGGCTCAGAGTATGTTCTGTAGAGGGACCACTCATTTATAGAGAAGTGAGTCCACTTTTCTAGTGTTCAGTTTATATACGAAGGGAACAAATTAGAAACTGGCTCTGAGTGAAGTAGGAGCATAAGTTTGCAGTGGTTGGTTCTGATTTTATCTACCAGTTTAGCCAAAGGAATATTGAGTTTATTTCTTGTAACTATTACTTGACAGAACAAGCTTAGAATTGGACTTGGACCAACGTTTATAAAAGTTTTCCCCACCCTGGTTTGTAATTTTTGCTGTAAGGATGATGTGTGGGTATATAAAAGGTCCTACTTCCTTAGGTGTCTTGAAAAACTCAGACATCACAGGATGTTATTTCAGAACTTCTGTGCCTTTGATATGATCAGGTTTAGGTTTAGGAAGAGGAAGGGAATGTACAGTAGTATCTATTTACTAATAAGCTAGAAACACAACATATAAGGTTTATGCTGTACATTCTAGAATCTCTGAACTTATGCCAGTTATTTGTTCCTTGTCTTATTTTTTTTAAAGATTATTTATTAATTAGAGCAAATGAGCATGAGTGGGGAGCGGTGGGGGAGGAACAGAGGGAGAGGGAGAATCAGACTCCCCACTGAGCAGGGAGGCTGATGTGGGGCTCAATCCCAGGACCCTGAAATTATTATTTGAGCCGAAGGCAGACGCTTAACTGACTGAGCCACTCAGGTGTCCCAGCTTGTTCTTGATTTTAAACAAGAGGCCAGTGTGCAGTGCTAAAAACACAAGCTGAGCCCCATCTCTGCCTTTGTGACCTCAACAAGTTTTTTAATGTCCAAGGTTTGCATCTGTAAGAATGAGGCGATAGGGGATCCCTGGGTGGCGCAGCGGTTTGGCGCCTGTCTTTGGCCTGGGGCGCGATCCTGGAGACCCGGGATCGAGTCCCACGTCGGGCTCCCGGTGCATGGAGCCTGCTTCTCCCTCTGCCTGTGTCTCTGCCTCTCTCTCTCTCTCTCTGTGACTATCATAAGTAAAAAAAAAAAAAAAAAAAAAATGAGGCGATAATAGTACTCACCTCCTAGCATCATTGAAAGGATTAAATTAGATAATGCATATAGCATTCTTAGCAGTGCCTGGGATACAGTGAACACTCAAGCAATGGTAGCTCTTCTTCTCACTGATGGAAATTTAAAGCTTTACTATTTCACTCCTCCCACACTTGAACCAGTTCAGTTTAGGGCATGAAGTTGGTCAGCAATCTCTGACCCTGTGCTCTGCCTTTCCTTGTATTTGTTCAGCAGCTGTAAAATTCCACCAGGCTTGGCAGCTTCCAGTGATGCCACGGGAGGACAAGAAGAGTGTTAGCTGTTAGCTGTTTGTGTACTGTGTGTCTCATGTTAATGTTTTCCACAGTGCTCTGGAGTAGCCCCATGGAACTGATGAGATGGAGGCTTAGAAAAGTGGGATCTACTAGTCCAGGGGCTCCCAACCCAAATTGGGGTGGACTTGCAATTTCAGCGGTTTTTTTTTTTTTTTTTTTAACCTCAGTGCCTGTTGTGGAGAGCTGATGATTGACAGTATAATTGTAAAATTGGAAGTGTTTTTTGTGATTTTGTTGTCTTACAGATAAGGAAGCTTAAGCCCAGAGAAATGAGGTGTGACTACCTAATCACATAGTGAGTTCTCAGCAGATTTTAGAGTTAGAACTCAGGACTTCTGCCTCCCAGGCCCATAGCACCTCCATGAATCCAGGAGGTCTCACATACCTGTGGGGGCTTGGTAATACCTCCTGCCTTTAAGGGCTTCCTTCTGGATCCCTTAGGCTCAAGGTCAGTAGGTTCCCTCTTCAGTTAGAACCATCATGAATTTCAAAGGTTGATGCACCAGAACTTAAAGCATTTTTAAGACTGCATTTTCATGTGATGCAGATAAACCTATATCTCGTTTGTTTAGCTGATGTTCACTTGCTGTACTAATTTTATATTTGGAACAGCTGCTCTTTTGTGGCAACAAAGGCTTTTTGATGCTTTTTTAAAATTTTTTTTTTTTTAATTTTTAAGTAACCTCTATACCATTGTGGGACTCGAACTCAAAACCTGGAAACCCAAGAGTTCTGATGCTTACTTGTTTTTCTTCTTTGCTGTATAGATATTGCTGCCATGAATGCCTCTAAAATTTTTTTCTGTGTATATACCTTACTTTTATAGAATAAATTCACAGAGGTGGAATTACTAGGTTAAAGTGCATAAACATTTTTAAGTCTTACCTGGTAAGCTTTGTTTAAATCAGAAACCTATTACCTCAGCACAGGACTGCTTTGTAGATTAGATTATAAGTTGTATGCAGTGCCATCTTAAAGTGCTTATCTGTAAACAACTTCTTTCCCATTTGAGAAAGCATTTGGCACTTTTATTTATTTATTTATTTTAAAGCTTGTTAATAGTGCCTTTCTTTATTTCTCTTCAGTAGTTGAATTTAAAGGGAGATAAACCAATAAAGTCATCAGTGGGTCAAGGTTGGAGATCAAAGGTGTTACCAGAAACTGATTTCTTCTTTTTTTATTTTGAGGATAATCTTGTAAAGAGGCTCAAGGAGCTGCCTTAGGCAGTGGCAGCCTCTTTAGCAGCTTTTCTCTCTGCCAGCATCCGCTGCTTCAGTTTAGCCAGGCACTTCCTAGCAGAATAATGGGCTCCCAGGTCGTGATAGCGGTCCTGGTAGGCCTTGGCCACCTGGGTGAACTGCTCCAGCTCCTTGGCACAGTTCTGCCTGTAGCTCTCACCTTCCCGCTGCTGACAGGCCTTCAGCCTCTCCTGGATAATGTTCACGATTTCTTGATCCACTTTATAGTCTCTTCTCCATTGCATTTCTGCTTCAAACATGCACAAGACATCCTTTTCCTGGCACTCCGTGATGTGTGGCACACGGCGGAACTCCCGGTGGTAGTAGTAATACCTGTTCTTTGCATGCTGCCGATCTATAAACTCTCTCACTAGGGTCACGGGCCGGTCCATGAGGAGGTCGAAGGCCTTCGTCAAATAGGTTACTGGGTTGGGCACCGAAGTCTGCGGCGAGGGCGCCGGCGTGCGGCGCGGGGGCTCGGGGTACACATCCTTGTCCCAGCTGTCCGGCATGGCGGCGGCGGTGCGTGACGGGGACGGTCCACTCTCGGGGGCGCGACCCCGGCCTCCACCTGGGTCCCACGGCCTAGTTCCGCATGTGGCACTTTTAAAACAAGAAGCTCTCCCTTTCCATCAGCCAGTGTGAGAACTAGCTGATTGAAGTATTGGTCCAGCAGTTTACTGCCTGGCTGCTAAGACAGGAAATGACAAGATCAGTTTGGTTTAGCTTAAGACCAAAGGCTTGCAGAAGGCTGTCATGATTAAAGTGAACCTGAAGTATAGGAATTGGCTTGGCAGAAGGAAGTGGTGGTGGGGAGAGGGAGGCTTCTAGCTGAGGGAAGGCAGACTCCCTGAGATGGAAAGGAGTTGGCATATTTGAGGAACAGACCAGTGTCCTTCCCCAGATGCAGTGAGTGTGCGGCAGGAGATGAGACTGGTTACGAGGTGGGGTCCGCAGGGCCAAGTGACATGGCACCTGTGAGGACAGCCTGTGTTCTCATTAAGAACAAGAGTAATGTTGGATTTGTAGTTTGGGAAGACCACTCTGGCTGCTTTGTAAAGCGTGGATTGGAGGTAGATAAGAACAGGTCAGAGGTGGCCATTCTTTGAAGAGGTTGGAAGTTGAAGGAGAGCATAGAGGTCAGACTGATGCTGGAGGAGTGTTGGGTCTCGGGAAGAATCTTTATTTTCTTTTTTTAAAGATGGCAGGGTCTGGAATATTTATATCCTACCTAAACTGAGCTAGAACTGAAGGACAGGTTAAAGACAGAAGAGAGAGGGAATTAGGAATGGACTGACGTTCCTGGAAAAAGATGATACCCCAAGCTCACACACAGAGGGGATCAATTGGCCTTTGATTAAGAGAGGAAGACTTCCTCCATTTTTGTAGGAAGGGAGAAGGAGAATCTGCAGATGTTGGTTGTGTTGTAGAGGTTTGAATGGTGTATTTCTAGGAAAATTTTAATGATATGTTCAAACCTAGCATACTTGGAACAGAATTTCATTTGAATCTCTGAGAATCTGAAGTCTTACCAGTGTGTTATTGGAAGCAGTAAAATTATGTACTGCCTTTGGTTAGTATTTCTAGGAGAATTTAAGGAGTACCTTAGAACCACAGAATTTTATTATTTATTTTATTTTAAAAACATTTTATTTATTCATGAGAGAGGCAGAGATATAGGCAGAGGGAGGAGCAGGCTCCCCACAGGGAGCCCTATGTGGAACTCAATCCCAGGATAACAACCTGAGCCGAAGGCGGATGCTCAACCACTGAGCTACCCAGGTGCCCGGAACCACAGCATTTTAGAGCTGGAAAGAATCTTTTGAGATCACTAAATTTTTTTTCACCTCTTTTTTGCTTATAATACTGAGAAGAAATATAACTTACCTCAGGTTGTATAGGTGTGTGATAAATGTGTACATGTACCACTGTGTCCTCTTGTCCCAGTTCCTGGTTTTTTCTCTTTAACATACTGCTTTAATAGAAAAATCTTTGATTTAGAAATATGAAACATTTTTACTTCAAGATTAATTTATTAGGAAATTAGGTTTAGACATCTAACATATTTGATTTATGATTTTCCTAATTAAAGAAAAATGCTGTTGGGATCCCTGGATGGCTCAGCAGATCTCACTGAAGATTGCTTTATGCAGTGGTTTGCCGGACTCTTGAGAGACATAACTTGTAGACTGGGAACCTCTGGGGTAGCTAATTGCGCTGATTTTTTTTTTTTTTTTTTTGAACAGAGGTGTTTTGTTTTTGTTTTGTTTTTTTAAAGATTTGATTTATTTATTCATGAGAGAGAGAGAGAGGGGGGCAGAGACACAGGCAGAGGCAGAAG